TGCATTTATTGATTGACTAATTGGCTTAAATTGCTCTAGTTTGGCCATTGGGAGCTTTGTCCATTTTGGGTTTTTGTTTGTTTTTGTTATTTTTGACACTTTCCTTACTTTCTGCCATGGCAAAATGCTCCAAAATTATCTTATATATTTCCTAAAATCAATTATTTCTCCAATGGATCCTCACTCTTCTTTATATTTGTAAGGTTCTTCAGAAAAGCAGAACCAACTAGACCTCAAGGTCTAAAAAGATTTACCTCAAGGAATTGGCTCACATGCTTATGGAGGGGGCAAATCCAAAATCTATAGAGCTGACCTGCCAGTTTGAGTGTGAAGGCTGGAGACCAGGAAGAACTAATGTCCTAGTTCAGAGTTGATGAGTAGGAGAATCCTCCCTCACTCAGAGGGGGCTCAGCCTTTTGTTCTATTGGAGCCTCCAGCTGATTGGATGGGGCCTGCTCACATTGGAGAAGGAAACTTTCTTTACTCAGACTACTGATTCAAATGTTAATTTCATCTGAAAACATTCTCACAGAAACACCTAGAATCATCTTTGACCAAGTACCCAAAGTACCTGGGAGTCTTTGTGGCCCAGTCATGTTGATACATAAAATTATCCATAACACTAATGTTGGGTAATAGCATTAGAACCCAAGATCTAGGCATAAGATGTGGACACTGCTACTGAGAATCAGTGCTTCTAGGCCCTGATAGGTGATACAGCAAAGAAAGGAAATATAGAGAGAGAGAGAGACAGACAGAGACAGAGCGAGAGGGGGAGGGAGGAAAGGAGGGGGGGAGAGAGAGAATGTAGTTACCCTTGTATTGGGGACCCTAGAGGATGTTGTATATCACAGAAAACCCACTAACTACCCTGCCAGCCCTTACAGAAGAAATTGAAAGTGCATGTGCAGCAATCTCAATGACCATGGTTACCCAAGCAGCATTTTGCCATACTAATAAAGGTCTGGAAGCTAATCGCCACAATTTTGAGAACCTCTCATAATTATAGAGTCCAAAGGTAACTTGTATTAATCTCATGATTTCTCAATAAATTTAAAATATTGATACAAGTTTTTCTTTTCTGAAATGTGTATACATTTTTGGCAGAATATATATATATATGATTATTAATACATAATATAAATTAATAATATATCATTATAGTCTTGCATATATATACACATTTCCATATATTGTTATGTGCAACCATTTGTATCTACATGAAGCTAAACATAAGTTCATACTGATGTGTCCAACTCTAAATCATGACCATAGGGATTATTCTAGTTACTTCCCTTGCTTATTTGCAACCTCACCCAAAAACTGAAAAATCTGGCTCCAACGGTGTGCTATCCATTTATTTGATTGTGTTATTTCACAATTTATGCTGTCATGGTTTATTTTAAATGTTATATTTATTTTTCCTATCAACTTGTATGAGATACAGTTTGTCCCAATATTGGGTGAAACATTATTCTAGATGTGCCTGTGAGTATGTTTTTGTGTGAGATTAACATTTGAATTGGTAGAATGAGTAAAGCAAATTGCCCTCACTAATGTGAGTAGGCCTCTTCAAATTAATTTAAAGACTGGATGGAACAAAAAGCTGAGTCAGAGGGCACTTTGTTTGCCCGACTGCCTTTGAGCTAAGGCATTGTTTTTTTCCTGCCTTTGGATTTAAAGGACTAAAACATAGGCTGTCCTGTGTCTTCACCTTTCTGATTTCAGATCTTGAGAACTTGTCAACCTCTAAAATCACAAGTGGCACATACTATCTATCTGTCTGTCTATCACCTATCTTGTTTCTCTGAAGAACACTGACTGATATTCAGGTATAATGTGTTCAGAATGCTTAAGCTATTTCTCTATGGGATCAACCTTATGAACTAGAAAACAGTGCTTATAAACAGTGCCTTTCGCCTGTGGCCTTAAAGATGTCTCTCATTTCCAAAGGTTCTTAGGTTAGCCATTTATCTCCCTTCCTCCTTCACTAGGGCTATTTCATGTATTTTTATGTAGTTCAATTTTTTTGTCTCATTGTGCACTCTATTGTGTGATGTTTCAGGTTATTATATTTTTTAAATGTCATACATTAATGTTGACTTTGTGGTATAGAATTGTATGGATTTGAGAAAAGGATAGGGTCATGATTTTACCACTATGGTATCATATGTCAGAGTTTCATCATTCTCAAAATGTCCTGTGTTTTGGCTACTTATCTTATAATTATCTTTTATCTAGCCACATAACTTTATTCAGTTTGTTCATGTTTACCAAATACCTTGCTGAGACTTAAATTGAGATTGTGTAAACTTTGTATATTAAGTTAGAAGAAAAGATACCTTAATAATATGGAGTCTTCCAAACCAGGACTAAGGCATATTTTTTCATTTATTTGCATTTTCAATTTCTTTCATCAGTATTTTATAATTTATATTCTTTACATATTTTGTCAGATTAAATCTAAGTACTTCATCTTTTGGTGATAGTGTGAATGGTTCTTGATTTTTTAAAATTTCGAATTGCAGTTCTTCACGTCTGGTATATAAGAAAAATACTTACTTTTGTATAGTAGCCTGTACCCTGCCACTTTGCTGACTATTCTTATTACTTCCAGGTTTATTTTTACAGATTCATCAGATTTTCTACATAAGCTAAAATGTCATATGAGGATAAAATAGTCTTATTTCTTCATTTCTAATTTGTTTTATTGCGCTTTTTTTTTTAATCTCATTACTCCAGTTAGACAGTACCATGTGAATAACAGCCAAGAGAAAGTACAGGCTTGATTTCTTCCAAATTCTAGGGGGAAATAATCCAGTTTCTCACCATTAAGTATGACATTAGTTCTAGGACTCTTCAAGATGTTCTTTACCAAATGGAAGACTTTACCCTCTTTCCTTGTGTGCTGAGAGGTTTGTGTTTATTTTAATCTGAATGGATATTGAATTATCTCATATATACATTTTGCATTATCTGAATGGTGTCATATATACTTTTCTGCATTATCAGATGATCAAATTGACTTCTTTTTTGGTAGTTTCTAGTAATGAATCATATTAATTGCTTCCAAATGTTAAAGTAGAATAAATCCTGCTTAGTCATGGTGCATAATTCTCTATATATTTGATAGTTTTCAATTTGATACTATTTTGTTAAATGTTTTTGTGTTATGTCCATACAATGTATTAGTCTGTAGTTTTCCTTTCTCAAAATGTTTTTATGCAGTTTTTGGTGTCATACTAATACTGACCTGGACAGATTGAGTCAGAAGTATTCCCCCTGCTTCTGTTTCCAGGGAGATGTTGTAGAAGTTTGATACCAATTCATTAGTAAATGTTGGTACAGTGAACCAATGAAAATATCTTGGCCCAGTTGTTTTCACTTTAAAAGGTTACATATTAATCAACGACTCAGTTCATTAATAGGTATGTGGACATCCTGATTATTTCTCCTTATGTGAGTCTGGATATATTGTGTCATTCAAAGATTTGGCTCATTTCATCAAAGTATCAAATTTATTGACATAGAATCCCTTGTACTTTTGCTGTATTACACTTTATATGTCTCTATATAAATTTATGTATATATATATATATATATATGTCCTGAGTATTTTTATTTGATTTTAATATATATGATATATATTACATATGTATACATATATAAGCACACATACACATGTACGCATGTGTTAATAAAGTTTATTTAACCTTACTGTTGTCTCTTGCCAAATGCTATATAATTTTCCTATCAGTTATTTTCCTTTCAATTATGCCTCCTTGCTATATAATAGTATGTGGTATAAGTGGGCTTAGATAATTTGTCACATATCTGCTATTGGAGAAGTCTGGGAAGAAAGTGAAGTGATCCCAATGCTGGAGCTTTCCTGTGCTGCTGGAGGAAAGATTACAAGTGAACTCAGATGGACACCTGTATAGCAGGATCAAGACTTTCTTTAAATTAGTAAATCCAAGAAAATCCCTCTAATGATGTGAGCTAGAATGTTAGGGAGATCATTGTCACTTGCAGAGGAACCATAGATTAACATGCCTTAGGAAAGCACAAGTTAACAACTTACCCACTCACCATACACTGAGTTTCCCTTCTCATCTATAGATGCCTAACAAAGCCAGTTCACTCTCAAAAGAAGCATAGGACAGTATCTTCTGAGTAATGTGGACATTGTTTCTTTGAGTCTCTGAGAAGTTTGGGGTATGATAAGGAGGAAATTTTCATTCTTGTTTTGCAGAAATAAGTGTCTCAGTCTGTTCCTAGCTCATATTTCAAATTTTTCTCAGTTGTGATGATTGTTGTGATGCAAATCCATGTCTGTACACCTTTCTGTGTTTGCACTTTCTTCTCAGATTGCAATTCTAGAAAAATAATTCTACCTCAGATGTATGTACCCTGTAATGGCTCTGGATACCTACTGTCAAGCAAGTTTATGCACATTAAGAAATTCTGAGCTGCATAATTTTATAAATCTGTTTTATTTAGCATTTACAAGAAAGCAGAGAGCAGAAAAAACATTGTGGGAGCACAAATTCTGTTCATCAGAGGACCAGATATTTGCGCTTTCACAGTTGCTGCATGGAAGGTTCATAGCTCAGGTAAGGTGGGAGTATTCTTGGGCCAAAACAAATTAGAATGGAGCTGTCTTTTTCTTGACTAGAATGCAAGCAGAGGTTTCTGGAATGAAAAGGGTAGAGATAATTCTCATGTAATGCTGAGCCTCAGGGACAGAACTATAGGGGCAAGAACTTGATAACTAACCAACACAGTGAGGCACCATATGAGAGTTCATCATGATGAGAATTAAGAGGTTGAGATTCTGAAGATAGTAAGAGGAACATGGGAAGAATAGGTACAGAGTGGAGCAAGAAGGCCCAATAGGCTCAGCTACTACTAGAGAGCAGAGGCAGAGGCCAGGGGAGAGAAGAAGCAGAAGGTGTTGTGACCAGAGGGCCAGAGCAGCAGGCCAGGAACTAGGCAGGATTTCAATGCTTGTAGTTCCTCCTTCTGGAAGAGGAGCTGATGCACTTGATGGTAGAAGTGCTGCCCCCAGTAGAGCTGAGGCTGCCACCAATGCTGATGCCTCTGCTACTGCCAGAACTGAAGTCACCTCCAAGGCTGTGACCAGAGCTGTAGGAGTAGCTGCTGCATCTGCTCAGGCCTATGCCACTGCCCATGCCACTTTCTCTGCCATGGCCACTAAAGTCAGTAGACTGCACCATGGCTTTGGAAAGGGGACAAGGACACAGGGCATGGTGAGCACATTCTGTCCAATGAACCCTGTCATAAGGGCCGGGGCAGGAGAGTCAGGGAAGCCAAGTACTTACAGATATTGACTGGGCCAACACCTTCACCATTCAGCCTAGAGGGAGAAGAATACAAGGAGGTGAGACCTAGAGAGCCATTCCCAGGAGCCTGTGGGAGCCTCCAGCTGGGGACAGTTTGTGAAGAGCCACCTTCCAAAGTTTCCTGACAGTGGACCATTATGACCATAGCTAGTGTTCCCTAATCTTGTGTTCAGTGACAGACACTCTATAGATGTCCCCAGAGAATTGAGGAGGCATGTGTGGGGCCCACCTGCACTCCTTGCCTTCCAGCAGCTTCCTGTAGGTGGTGATCTCCATATCCAGGGCCAGCTTAACATTCATGAGCTCCTGGTACTCCTTCAGCAGCCTGGCCATGTCCTGCTTGGCCTTCTGCAGGGCATCCTCCAGCCCTTCCAACTTGTTCCTGGCATCCTTGAGGACCAGCTCCCCACACTGTTCAGCATCAGCAATGGTGGCCTGCCCGTTGGCGCACTGAAGGGAAAGCAAGCAGAATGGACTTATAGTCTGGTACTTCCCAAGGGGTTGGCCCTGTGACTTCATTTCCACTGAGGAGCCTGCAGTTGAAAGAAACAAGCTTAGATTTAACATTTTCTGTCCCATATACCTGCTTTTTGACATGGTCAATCTCAGATCTCAGCCTCTGGATCATGCAGTTGATCTCAGCGATTTGCTGCTTGGTGTTCCGCAGGTCGTCCCCATATCTGCCTCCTGTGACCTGCAGCTCCTCATACTGTAGGTCAATTGAAGAGACAGAAAATCTATATGGGTTTCACGTACAAAAGAGGGTTCTCACCTGTGAAGCAGACGTGTAATAACCTTTATCTAATGGCTTCTTCATGAGTAACTTTACGAAAAGTTGATGTTGTACAGCTGGTAGGCACCTTACAACAGAGTCACAGATTCCCTACTTCTCTTAGGGACTAACAATGTTCTTTATTGTGTTCTGGGAATTAACATACAGTATGAAGCTTATGCAAAGGTAAATAATTCTTTATGGGAGCTTTCACCCTGCTCTGGGATCTTTTGCTTTCCAGGCATTGGAATAAATTTTATAAGTGTCTAATCTAATCATGTAGGATACACTTGCTGTAACAGGACTCATGCTTCCTGTAGATCCCCCCACCCAATGAAATCAGAAGACTTCTGTTATTTGAGAAGGTGAATGGGAATTCCTCAGCACTGCCACCTCACTCCTCACCTTGGTCTGGTACTGGGACTCAGCCTCAGCTCAGCTCCTCTGAGCAATCTCCTCATATTGGGCTTTAACTTCAGCCATGATGATGTCCAGGTCCAGGTTACGGTTGCTGTCCATGGACAGGATGACAGAGGTGTCTGAGATGTGGGTTTGCATCTGAGACAGTTCCTGCCTAACAAAAGGTGTTAAGGTCTTCTTTGCCTTGTGACACTTACAACACCAAGATGGTTCCTTTGGGGAGCTTATCATAGTTAAGAAGGGAGAAGGGAGATGGAGATGCTTACTGCCTCATAGATGGGTCTCAAGAAGTTGATCTCACCGACAAGACTGTCTACCTTGGCTTGCAGTTCAGTCTTATTCATGTAAGCAGCATCCACATCCTGGGGACAGAGGCAACAAAGTAGACTTAGCTGAGCCCTCCTGCTCAGGCCTTCCATCTCTATCTCCCTGGCACCTCCTCTCTTGGATATGATTGGGAGGCAAGGCCATGTCTCTTTCAGCAGAGAATCCTGAACCCTGATTTAGTCAGCTCACCTTCTTCAGGTTAACAAATTCATTCTCTGCTGCTGTGCGCTTGTTGACTTCATCTTCATATCTACGGAATGGGATAACACATTTGAGCCAATGTGTGGATAGAACTGAAGGACAGCTTTGAATCTTTCACTTTACACATGTGGAATATATCCAAATTCATCTTTCCTGCCACAGACAGCCTTAATGATGGTTTTTGTGCTGCCTAAATTTTATTTTTCTTTGGTCTCTCCAATCTCTTGATACCCTTTGTGTGTTCTATCAAATTTGTTGGTAGCCTTTAATTTGACTTTTATCTTCATAACATATTTAGCTGAGGAATTATGAGCATAGCTAGATCTGGTCTCCCATTAGTCTTTAAGCTTATACTTTGAGAAACTGAGCCCACTCCTCTTCTTCAAATCACTTCTTTGACATCCAGACTTGTCATCTGATCATTTTGAAGTATAATCTGGAGAAACTGAGCCCACTCCTCTTTTTACTCACTTGCTCTTATAGTCTTCCACCACGTCCTGCATCTTCCTCTGCTCTGAGTCCAAGTGGCCTCTCTATGCATGGACGGTATCCAGATGCCTTCCCAGGTTGTTGATGTACTGCTCAAAGATAGGCTCCAGATTCTGCTTGACTGTCTTGATGCCCTGCTCCTGGATCAGTGTCCATTTGGTGTTGAGAACCTTATCCTGCTGCTCTAAGAACCTCACCTGCTTGATAGCACAGTGTGAAGACAGAGAAATGCAGGTATTGTGCTTCAGTGACCCAGTCACAATTTTGCCTTCCATCCATATTGTGTCCTTAAAACTTTCCCAAGTGCAGGACATTTCTGAGAGCACAGGGGAGGACCAGAGTAAGGGACTGAACCTTGCTCTTCTAGGGAAGACAGGACTCTCATTTCTGGGCATAGCAAGAACCAGGAATAGCAGTGAAGGCTCTCAGGCCACTCCCCTTTGCCCCCATTAACACATCTGCCTTCCTGGGCAGGTCCCCAGTTACATGAGACACAGAGCTCATCACTTTCTACTCAAAACCAAGGAGCCATTGCAGAGAGGCCTCTTAATGAGAACTAAGTCTCTACTTCCAATCTACTTAAGAAATAAAGAGGGTCTCAAATCCAAGAGGCAAAAACGAATGGAAATGGCTACCACATGCAGATGTTTGCACAAAGCCTGAAAAGCCTTCCGTCTTCCCTCTATCTTTGGCATCTACTCTAGACTCCCAGTAGATTTTTACAAGGGTTACATCTCATCTTGTCAATGAAGGAGGCGAACTTGTTGAGAGTCTTGAACTGCTCATGCTCTTCAGTCCTCACTCTCTGGATGGTGGGGTCGATTTCCAGGTTCAGAGGAGTGAGAAGCCTCTGGTTGACCGTGACTTCTTGAATGCCTCCAGGGGGCACACAGGGAAACCAGTGCCCCCATAGTTGCCAAGCCCCAAAACACAACCAGCTCCATCACCATAACCAAATCCACTGCCAGCTCCACCTCCAAAGCCAAAGCCCCTGGAGTGGCAAACAGAGACACTACTGAAGCCAGAGTGGCTGAGCCCAAGGACTCTGGCTGAGCTGGCACTGAAGCCACGGGTTGCTACTTTGGCTCCTCATGGTGGTTTTGCTAGACATGTGTCCTGGGGCTGAGAGACTGTGCAAGGCGTGAGAGGCTGAGGGCAGAGCTGAGAGGAGCAAGTGAAAGAGATGGTGTCGGGCAACAGCTTATATATGGTTCAGATGGGCTAGGCTGGCTCCTGGAAGGTGAACTTGCTGATTGTGAGGGTTGAGCTTTACAGTGAGATCACACCTACATTATTAGCAAAGTTATGATATATTGAGATAACATTTTTGGCTTCCTTTAGTCAAGGAAAATTCTCCTACCTCTAGTTTGACTTGTTCTCAATATAGTAAGACAATTCTTCATTCACTATAGCTAAGAGTTAGTCACTGTCTCAAACAAAGGTTCTCCATGTCTTGCTGTGTATCAAAATATTCTAAGTGCTGTTATCTTCCTGGCCTGCAGAGATACTGAAGATCAAATGTTGCTTATGGTAACAGAAAGATTACTATATTCTTTCAGTGGTTGCAAAGGTTAAACACCCTTACTTTCCTTTACATAAAATTCCAAACAGGCAGGGAAACAAAAGAACTGCATAATTGGCTCCCCTATACCTTCACCCAGCTTTAACAATGGGGTCACATGGCCATCTCTGTGTCTTCCACACTTTTACTCTATCCACTCACTAACCCTAAATTATTTGAAAGGAATTTCTGGGTGCCATACTTTTTGGTAGATAATTCAATATGTGTCTAAGGGTAAGCTATTTAAAATACATGGTCAAAAATAACTTTAATGTCTTAAAATGTGTATATATTTATTCACCTCAAGAAGATATTTAACTTATAATATTAAACTTTCTAATGTCCTTGTTAATATTGTTTTTATATTTTGTTACCCATATCAGCCAAAGAAGCTCCATTCATATTTTGTGTGATATATTTTAAATAGTATGCATTTTAAATCAGTTAAATCATTTAATGTCTCATAATCTTTCTTGTCCTAATAGTTTATTTGTTTCAGAAACCAAATTCATTGTCCTGCGTGGTGTTACAGCCTTTATGCTTTTCTACTTTCATTTTCCTGGTATTTCATTGAACATAGTGTATCCATCATATTTCCTGCAAACTAGTAGTTAAAGTTTGAAAGTTAGATGCTTTTCCATATTCTTACATTCCCAAAGTGGATGTAGTGAATTTGTATTTAAGTAGTCAATATAATTCCTTACACATATATTTATGTATTTACAAATTGAACAGGCAATATATATTTGCAGAACAAAATACATGCTTAAGTCATTCCCCAGGCACCCATTTTCCATATATGAAAGCAGGCAGTGTGACTAGTTTCTTATGTAACCCTTCAGTACTTTTTTGCCAGATGGAGAGGAATCTGGTAGTTCTAAGTTCTTGCTGTCCCTCCCAAAGAACTGGCTGGAACAAACAATGAGCATAAAACAGTAAGGTTTATTTAAAGTAACAGAAGAAAAAGGAAAAAATGAAGAAGAGAAGTAAAAATGAAAAGTGAAGATATGTGCTCCACACAGAATGGGCCACTGAAGAAGCAGGAAGACAGCAGTGCCTCTAAAGTAAAGGACCATCATCTTTTCTATCTTTGTAGATCCAGTTCATCTGAAGTTGATCTGTGCATATATCCCAGCTGTGATTTGACAATTCCCCATGATTGACAGGTCCTGCTTGGTTCCTCCCTCCTGGAGGAGTTTATAAATATATGGTGTCATTTCAGTTTAAATGTTGGGTAAATCAATGAGTAATTGTATAGTCTAGACCTTTAATTTTTGGGAGTTTTTAATTAATGAATCAATTTATTCAGTAAGTCTGTGTGAATTCTGATTACTTATACACTATTTATATATTCTTTGTTATTTTCTAGGATTTGGCTAGCTGAATCTGAGTTACCAGGATTGTCATGTAGTTATTTGTGATATCGTTTCATTGTACTTTTAATATTTATGAAGCTAAATATTGTAATTTTATTTAAATCTATATAAAATACTTCCTGTTTGTGTTATGGTATATACTAGATAGATTTCTTTAACATTATTTCTCACTGGTACACATATGTATGGCAAGTGGGCTTAGATCTTGGAAGTCAATCATCACTTTTCTGCTGTCAGGGAACTTCTGGGCAGAAAGTGAAGCGGTTCCAATGTGAAAAGCCACCCACATTGCAGGGGGAGTAGTGAGAGGTGAACACAGCAGATGATGACACAGATGGTTCCAGAAACACCAATAGAATCCAAGAAAATATCCCCAGTGATATCAGAACCTGAGGGTTAGGAAGTTAATTGTTACCCATGGGACAGTGCAGATGAGCATATCCCTAGACGAGTACAAGTCGACTGACCAAGCTGGAACTTTATTGGATTTTCCCTCCCTCGTTCCTAAAAGTTAAGCCCCAATAGTTTACTCTGGAGAGAGGAATGAGACCACCTTTGTGAACAACATGAACTCGGCTTCCTTGAGGCTCAGTCAGAGACAAGTGTATGAGAAGGAGGGAGTGTGCTTCTTCTATCACCTGACTCAACAAGGAATTAGAATTTGAATTTAGACTCCAGAATTCTGGTTCCTAATTTGGCCAGCTGGTGGGCTCCAGGTTTCCTGTTTGTGAAGATGGTTATGATTACATCTTTTTGCACTTGCACCATTTCCTCAGGATGCATTTCTAGAAGTATAATTAGAGCTCAGAAGTAGGCACACTGTAGTTACTCTTGGTATCTTCCGTCAGGCAAGTTTCTAGTAATGACGGCAATTGTAATTAAAAGTCAAATATCTGATTCCTTTGTCAAATAGCCTTCATTTTATTGCTTTGCTTTAATCGTCCAGGGATGTTTCTCCAGCTGGGCACTTCGGCTTAGCACCAGCACAGGGGAACGGCTGTCTTAGAGATCAAGCTGGAGGGTCCAGCTGCTAATTTTTGGCACAGACACTCAAAGCAGAGAGGACAATGATGGTGAACTCGATTCCTCCACACTTGCCAGAAATTTAAATGGAATTTGATCTGAGAAGGGAAGCTGAACATCAAGGTAGCAAACTATTATTCATGGATCAAAGGAGATAAAAATTGTTTATCATATGAAAAAGTAGAGAACTGTTGGGATCAAGTAAGGCAACAGTGAGCAAGGTGTTATATTATAAATCTGCTTTATTTAGAAGTTATAAGAAAGCAAAGAGCAGTGAAGACATCACAGGGATACAGGTTCTGTATCTACAATTGTTACTACAAGAGTCTCACAACACGTGAGACTGAGAGCTAAGGGGAGCTGCCCTGTTCTTAAGTAGGTCCCAAGGAGGGTAGCACAGAAGTGTAGCACAGAGCTGTAGATAATTCTCCTGTAGTGTTCAAACTCAGTGATAACACAACACAGGTAAGAACTTGATAACTGAGCAACACAGTGAGGAACCAGATGTGAGTAAATCATGATGGAGAATCACAAGTTAAGATTCCGAAGGCCAGCAGCTAGGGAGGAAGGGATACACAG